TGGACTGTGCCAGTGGGGCCTTCGGTGGAGCTCCCCTATGGGGCCACGGTCCGTGTGAGTGGTGTTCCGAAATGGGCATGCCGTGGGTGGGGAGGGCACATATGGACTGTGCCACTGGGGCCTTGAGTGGAGCTCCCCATGGGGCCACGATCCGGTGACGGAATGGACGTGCGGTGGGCGGGAAGACGCATGTGGACTGTGCCACTGGGGCTTTCGCGTTCCGTGTGAGGGGTGTGCCTAAATGGGCATGCGGTGGGCGGGGAGGGCGCATCTGGAGGCGGCCATTGGGGCCTTCATTGGAGCTCCCAATGGGACCACGAACCGTGTGAATGGTGTTCCGAAATGGACGTGCGGCGGGCGGGGAGCCGCATGTGGACTGTGCCACTGGGGCCTTCGGTGGAGCTCCCCATGGGCCACGGACCGTGTGAGGGGTGTTCCGAAATGGGCATGCGCGGGCGCATGCGGACGCGGCCACTGGGGCCTTCGGTGGAGCTCCCCACGGGGCCACGAACCGTGTGAGGGGTGTGCCGAAATGGGCATGCAGTGGATGGGGAGGGCGCATGCGGACACGGCCGCTGGGGCCTTCGGTGCTATGGGGCCACGAACCGTGTGAAGGGTGTGCCGAAATGGGCAAGCGGCGGGCGGGGAGGACGCAAGCGGACGCGGCCACTGGGGCCTTCGGTGGAGCTCCCTATGGGGCCACGAACCGTGTGAGGGGTGTGCCAAAATGGGCATGCGGTGGGCGGGGAGGGCGCATGCGGACGCGGCCACTGGGGCCTTCGGTGGAGCTCCCTATGGTGCCACGAAGCGTATGAGGGGTATGCCGAAATGGGCATGCGGTGGGCAGGGAGGGCGCATGCGGACGCGGCCACGAGGGGTGTCTGCCGAAATGGACATGCGGCGGGCAGAGCCAAGGAGGGAGAGGAGGGAGGAAGGGGAGGGGACGAGGAGGAGGAGAGGATGCGGAGGGCAGAGGCAAAGAGGGGGAAGAGGGAGGAGGGGGAGGAGGAGGAGAGGAGGAAGGAACGCAGGGCGCTGTCTCTTCAAAACGAGGACCCAAGACCACATGATGGTTGGGGCGGGGAGAGCGCATGTGGACTGTGCCACTGGGGCCTTCGGTGGAGCTCCCCATGGGGCCACGAACTGGTGCCGGAATGAACGTGCGGTGGGCGGGGAGGACGCATGTGGATTGTGCCACTGGGGCCTTCAGTGGAGCTCCCCATTGGAGCAGGGAGCGACAACAACAACAACAATGCAACCAACAAATCTTGGAAATCCTTAGGGTCCTTAGGGATACCTAGGAATCCTTAGGAATACATAATGAACCTGTTGTTGTTGTTGTTGTTGTTGTTGTTGTTGTTGAATGGGGACGGGCGTCGTGCCCCGGGCTGGCCCCCCCCAACAACAACAACAACGCCGAGGGCTCCCGCCTGAGACTTTCTCACAATCCACCGGCCCTATAGGATTCGCATAGGATTTGTATAGGATTCATATGATTCCTATAGGATGCCTATAGATTCGTTTAGGATTCATAGGACTCCTATGGGACTCCTTTAAGATCGTATAGGATTCATAGAATTCCTATAGAATGCCTATCAGATTCGTATAGGATTCCATAGGATCCCTATAGGGTTCCTACAGGATTCCTGCAGGATCTATATAGGACCTATAGGATTCCTATAGGATTCGTATAGGATTCATAGGATTCCTATAGGACTCCTATAGGATTCGCTTCGGATTCATAGAATCCCAACAGGATTCCCATAGGATTCGTATAGGATTCATAGGATCCCTATAGTGTTCCTATAGGATTCCTACAGGATTCATATAGGATTCATCGGATTCGTGTGAGAATCCTAAGGATTCGTATAGGATTTATAGGATTCCGATGGGATTCCTTCGCAGGATTCTTCGGATGTCTATAGGCTTCCTTTGGGATTTGTGCAGGATGTATAGGATTCCTTTTTAGGCTTCCCATCGGATCCCTACAGGATTCATAGAATCATACGATTTCTATAGGGTTTTTGTAGGATTCGTGCAGGATTCCTATAGGGTTCGTGTGGGACTCGTACAGGATTCATTGGATTCCTATTAGATTCCCATAGGATTCATCACATTCTTATAGAATTCCTATAGGATTCCTATGGGATTCGTACAGGATGCATAGGATCCCTACAGGGTTCCTATAGGATTTCTATAAGATTCGTATCGGAGTCATCGGATTCCCATAGGATTCCCATAGGATTCGCATTGGAATCGCATAGGATTTTAGAATTCTCATGGGATTTACATCGGGTTCGTATAGGGTTAATTGGATCCTTACAGGGTTCCTATAGTTTTTTTTTTGCAGGATTCATATAGGATTCAAAGGAATCTTATGGGATTCCGAAGGATGCATATAGGATTCATAGGATTCCTATGGGATTCTTATAGGATCCTTAGGATTCCTATATGATTCTCTTGGGATTCGTATAGGTGGAATTCGTACAGAATTCATTGGATTCTTATAGGATTCCTATAGGATTCATTGGATTTCTATGGTATTTTTATGGGATTCGTATAGGATTCATAGGTATCCTTTCCGCTTCCTAGTAGGATTCCTACAGGAGTCATATAGGATTCATTGGATTCCTATAGGATTCGTATAGGATTCATAAGATTCCTATGGATTCCTATGGGATTCATATAGGAGCATATAGGATTCAGAGAATTCCCATAGGACTCTTATAGGACTTCCATACGATTCCCATAGGATTCCCATAGGATTCCAGAGCTTCGCTGGTGCAGCCATTGCAACATGGCATGAAGGATTGATCCACCTCTGATAGAGGTGGAGTTTTTTGTCTTTTTACTTGTTGTGTTGTTCGGGGGGGGGGTCCCCGGACGCCCCAGGGTCTGGGAAGGGTCCCTGCCCCCCAAAGGGGGAGGGGTCCGCCTGTGCCCCAGCAAAGGGGCACAGGGAGGATCCCCATCCTTGCTGTTGTTGTTGTTGAACATTATTTCTTCTTAAGAATAATTATTGTTGGGACCCCTGGTGCGCGACCCCCCCGCCGCGCCTAGGCCGTAGCCACGTTTTCATCATTTTCGTGAGGAAGCCTCAGGCAAAACGATGTGATCCAGATCCGGTTGTGTTGTTACGATCGGTTTTCCCTTGCAAAAAATAAGCTAAAGTGGACATTTCTTGTTCTAACATATCCAAACTTCAAGAATCCCTTGCAAAAAATAAGGTAAAGTGGACATTCGCGCGCGCAAGACGAAATCCTTCCAAAACCTTAGTTTTCGTAGCGATTTTAACATAAAAACATCAAAAAACCAATGGTTTTTCAAAAAAAAAAATGTCAAAATTTCATCCCGCGCGCTCTTGCGGATTCGTAGGAAACCCAACACTTTTTAAACATTTCTGTCAAACGGGCTTTTGCGAGCAACTTTTTCGAACTTCTGCAACAACGGTTGCGCACCTGCCAGGGCCATCATCCCTGTCAAATAATACCATGCGGGACACATTCGTTTTTTCTTCGCGCGCGCACGCCGTCGTCGTCGGCCGCGGGGCCCTGAATAGTAGCCACGGTCGTCCGCATGCCACGAAGTGAAGTGTCCGAACGTCATAGGGCGGGAAGCTGGGTGTGGGTGGTGGCGAAGAGTCGTTTGGAAATTTGGTAGAGCTTGAACCGGCCCCCCCACAAAGTGGGGGTATTGCCCGCCTCCTATGAAAACCCTGGCACTGGTGAGAACGGAGTGTCCCCACGTGCTAGTAATTGTTGTTGTTGTTGTTGAACATTATTACTTCTAAAGAATAATTATTGTTGGGGCCCCTGGTGCACGCCCCCCCGCCGCCGCCTAGGCCGCAGCCTACATTTTCATCATTTTCGTGAGGAAGCCTCAGGCAAAACGATGTGATCCAGATCCGGTTGTTTTGTTGTAATCCGTTTTCCCTTGCAAAAAACAATATAAAATGACATTTCTTGTTCTAATATAATCAAATTTCAAGAATCCCTTGCAAAAAATAAGGTAAAGTGGACATTCGCGCGCGCAAGACGAAATCCTTCCAAAACCTTAGTTTTCGTAGCGATTTTAACATAAAAACATCAAAAAACCAATGGTTTTTCAACAAAAAAATGTCAAAATTTCATCCCGCGCGCTCTTGCGGATTCGTAGGAAACCCAACACTTTTTAAACATTTCTGTCAAACGGGCTTTTGCGAGCAACTTTTTCGAACTTCTGCAACAACGGTTGCGCACCTGCCAGGGCCATCATCCCTGTCAAATAATACCATGCGGGACACATTCGTTTTTTCTTCGCGCGCGCACGCCGTCGTCGTCGGCCGCGGGGCCCTGAATAGTAGCCACGGTCGTCCGCATGCCACGAAGTGAAGTGTCCGAACGTCATAGGGCGGGAAGCTGGGTGTGGGTGGTGGCGAAGAGTCGTTTGGAAATTTGGTAGAGCTTGAACCGGCCCCCCCACAAAGTGGGGGTATTGCCCGCCTCCTATGAAAACCCTGGCACTGGTGAGAACGGAGTGTCCCCACGTGCTAGTAATTGTTGTTGTTGTTGTTGTTGTTGTTGTTGTTGTTGTTGTTGTTGTTGGGTTGTTGTTGTTGTTGTTGTTGTTGTTGTTGTTATTGTTGTTGTTGTTGTTGTTGTTGTTGTTGTTGTTTTCGGTGTCGCTGCTGTTGCTGCTGTTGCGGCTGCTGCCATTGTTACTGTTTGCTGCTTCTGCTGTTATTGTTTTTCATGGGTATTCCGCCTTACCTCTTCCATCTCGCTTCCCCGTATTTATTTGCCTCTCCCTTCTATCCCCTGCCCATTCAAAAACAACCATCTTCTCCTCTCCGTATTTCCCGTTGCTTCATTTTCCCTCTCCCTTCTTCTCTACACTCTACACTTCTTTATCCTCGTTCCCTGGATTGCTCCACCGTCTTTTCCACTGCAAGCCTTCACACCATCCTTTCGCCACTCGCCTGTCTTTGGACTGCCAGCGTAGTTCGCACTCCTTCCAGCGAGGATGCACCATCCGAGGAACTCTTTCTCGGCGCAGATCACCAGTCCGACCGGAAGCTGCAGGCTCCACGACGACGAGGAGCGGGCAGTCCTAAACACTGCCATCAGTAGATGGGTGGCCAATCCCAAAGGGTGCGGACAAGGTTCGTGTCCGTACTCATGGCGTCGTGAATTTTTTGGTAAGGGATGCCAGCAATCTCGAGACATATTATAACAGATCTGGCCTCGCTAGACACCAGATCTCACTCCATATTCTAGGCCTCTTGGGTGGGGTAGGAGTACATGGGCTCGGAGGATCGCGTCGCGTCGCCGATGCTTCGCCGATGCGGCTTGATGCGGAGGCCGACTTGCTTCACGTCGACGTCGCCGATGCATCGCTGACGTCGACGATGCCTCGCCGGTGCATCGCCGGTGCATCGCCGGTGCATCGCCGATGCATCGCCGATGCCTCGCAGGTGCATCGCCGATATATCGGCGATGCGGCGCGATCCTCCGCCCCCATCTTTTGCGACCCCATCTAGGAGGCCTCGCTAGACACCAGATCTTACTCCGTATCCACTGCGTCTCGAGCCTCCAGGGTTAAGTCGGGCCTGTCCCTCTAAAGGAGGAATGTTCAAAAACAGTGAAAAATAGTCCATGGACTATTTTGTTTAGGATTTTTTTTGACTATTTGGGGGTATTTTTTGGGTATTTTTGATTTCTCGCCCGGCCCAACATCCGCCTGTAGGGGGACATGCCCGACCTAAGTCTCCAGGGAGGGGGGCCCGAAACGCCGAGACGCAGTGGGCACGGGCAACGGCTCCTGCCCGCAGCGGTGGGGCCCGCAGCTCTTTCGCGGGAGGGAGAGGTCTGATGGGCTTGTTTTCCACCGCTACCACCAGAAGTTGGAGGGGGAAGGGGACCTCCTCCTCCTCCTCCTCCTCCTCCTCCTCCTCCTTCTCCTCCTCCTCCTCCCCCTCTTTCCCCCCTCCAGCTCATGGTGGTGGTGGTGGCAAGCAGGCCCGTCGAGGTCCGTGCCGGGCCCGTTCGCCCTCACCCTCGGGGGCACGGGGCTCGGAGGGGCGCCAGGCAGGCACGGAGCGCCGACCTGCCATGAAGCGGAAACCCGTGCCAAGAGACGCCCTGCTCGCCTCCAGGGTTAGGATGCTCCAACCTATCCAACCTACTCTAGCCTTGATCACCAGAAAAAAATTCGAGCACCAGCAAGGTGCCGAAGCTCGAGGGCTTTCACGTGTCGGGCCCTGGGAGCCACTCGTCCGACACTGTTTCGACACTGTTTCGGCACTCTTTCGACGCTTTTCGGGGTGCTCGCAGTTATTTCCGGGATGTGGTCCCTAAGTACGACGGGAGCAACATACATCCAGGGCGCCCAGGGTCTCTTGGGTTTCGATGCTTTGTTGCGCTGGACGGCGCGGCGTTCCCACGCCAGGAATCAACGGATGTCCTGGGGTCTCAGGTTTGGGTTTCTTTTGGAAGGGTTCTTGTGGACTGGCCTCCACGGAACGCCACATAATCCGAGGCGGGAATTTGTGCATGACCACCGCCTGGAGGATCCATTTTCGGGGACCTCGGCAGGCGGTGGATGTGGATATATTCCAGCCCCCATCTCACATCATGGCGACTCTGCCATTGCGGAGCCCAGAGCTGGTGGCTGCATGGGAGGCCCGCGACCACGAACGAGTCAGGCTAGCCAGACGAGCTGGCTCGACCTACATCCTTGCGGCCGGTCAGGCGGCTACAGCCGCAGACCGCCGCATAGGACGTGCAACAAAATAGCCGCCACATGTTCGCATCACTTGAGGATCCTTCTGGGAATCCCTTGCCACAAATATTTGGGCCCCCGGGGGCCAAAATATGTCCACACCCACCGCCCGCTGGGGCACCAGGACGACGGCTCCCAGGCGGTGGATCTGGACAAGTCCCGCCCCGCACAGGGCTCGACCCAGACGCAAGTCGGGCGCGTGCCTCTACAGGAGGAATTCTTCACGCTTGGCGTATTCCCATCATCCGCTGCCTACAGCTGTACCGGCTGTTGCGGCTGCACGGGTACAGGCCCCGTGCGTGCTGTGGTTGGCCAGTGGTCGCTGCTTGCGGGCGCCGTTTGGGCGGCTCCTCGTTTGCTCGCGCTTCCGTTCGCCTGCCGCTCCCGCCGCCTTCGGCTGGTTTGGCCTCTGCGGCTGCACAGGTGCAGGCTGTGCGTGCCTCGCGGCTGGCTGCTTGTGTCTGTTTCTTCGCGAGTTGGCGCCGTCAGGGCGACTCCTCGCTGGCTTACGCCGGCCGTGGCCTTGATTGGTCCTTGCATGTGCACTCCGCGCGTTCTCGCGCTAATTATCTTGCGCTGTGCCCCAGCCTCGGCACTCACGCCGTCTGGACTTTTCCTTGCGGGCCGCTAATCAAAAAAGTATTCCCATCAGCTAGGCACTTAGTTCTGCTCGTGGCCCGGGCCGACCTGTGACGCCGCCGGCGCCTTCGCCTGCGGTTGCGACGCAAAGCTCCACCAGCTCGCCCTGCGTTGGCCGCCCATGGTTCCCCCCGCCGCGTTTGCTTTGCGCCTGAGGTCGCTGGGCCCCCTTCCCGACCCTGGTCGCCAGGCGGCATCTTTTTCCCTCTCCGCGGCCGCTCCGGGCGCCCTGAGATTGTCCGCGTGCTCCTCCTCCTCCTCCTCCTCCTCCTCCTTCTCCTCCTCCTTCTCCTTGGCTGGCCCCCGAGCCGTGGGGGGCCTTCTCAGAAGGCCGTGGGCATTCTGAGATGCTCTCTTGGCCTCCGGAGACACAGCAGGGGCCTTCTCAAAAGGCTGGGGGCGTCCCGAGGAGCTTTCTTGGCCTCCGAAGGCCCAGGGGAGGCCTTCTCAGAAGGCCAGGGGCATCCTGAGATGCTCTCTTAGCCTCCTCCGACGACGTGCGGACACACGGGGGCCTTCTCTCGCAGGCCTAGAGGTTGACACCAACACCAATATCGGCGGTTTGCTTCCACCGAGTGAAGAAGATCCTGATCTCGGTGATGGTGGTAATATTCTGGCTTCCAAGGTGACCGAAATATTACCACCAACGCCGAAATCTAGGATCATCTTCCCCCTGTGGAGGCAACGCCCTGTGTTGGTGTTGGTGCCCATTTCCAGCCCTCCAATTCTCAGAAGGCCGGGGGCGTCCTGAGATGCTCTCCCAGTTCTTCCGAAGTCATTGGGGGGCCTTTTCAGATGGCCATGGGCGTACTGAGATGCTCTCTTAGCCTCCTCCGACGACACACGGGGGCCTTCTCAAAAGGCCGGGGGCGTCCTGCGATGTTCTCCCAGCCTTCTCCGAAAACACAGGGGGGCCTTCTCAGACGGCCATGTGCGTCCTGAGATGCTCTCTGAGCCTCCTCCGACGACACACGGGGGCCTTCTCAGAAGGCCAGGGGCGTCCTGCGATGCTCTCCCAGCCTCTTCCGAAGACACAGGGGGGCCTTGTCAGAAGGCCATGGGCGTCCTGAGATGCTCTCTCAGCCTCCTCCGAAGGCGTATGGGGGGTCTTTTCAGAAGGACGAGGGCATCTTGAAATGCTCGAAGCTTCCCCCGAAGATACAGGGATACCTTCTCAGAAGGCCAGGGGCGTCCTGATATGCTCTATCAGTCCCCTCCGAACGCACAGTGGGGGCCTCCTTCACAAGGCCGGGGGCATTCTCAGATGCTCTCTTAGCCTCCAACGATGCAGGGGGGCCTTTTCAGAAGGCCAGGGGCATGCCGAGAAGCCGCGCCACGTCCTGAGAAGGCCTTGCTCCCCTCATGTGGTTCCCAAGGGGACCCCAGGGAAAGGGACTCTTGAGACGGGCGGTGCCGATGTGTCAAGTGTGGTCGGCTTCGCCCGAAAAGGTCGTCGCATGACGCTTTCACTCGCGCTTCGAGGCCTCAAATGCAGCGCCGCGGTCCGAGAAGTCCCTTCTCTGGAGTCCCTCTTGGAAACGTATCGCCCCCCCCACTCCCCAGATTTCCGCCGCCGAATGAGGCGGCGCTGGCCGCATTTTGGGGAGGGCACCTCCCCCGATCCATGGATTTGGCGACCGCGCGCCAAATCCATGGATCGCAAATCTATGTTTGCGCGCCCCCATTCACCCCTCCTCCCTCCTCTCTCCTTTCTCCTCCCTCCTCCCTCCTCCCTCCCCCCTTCTCCCTCATGCCTCCTCCCTCCCTCCTCCCTCCTCCCTCCCCTCCTCCCCGCGGCGCGCCGCCGATCTATGGCTTCTGGTCGGACCCTGCGGAGCCCCCCCCCCCCCCTCCGCGTGCCGCAGCCCTCCAACCCCGCCCCCACCCTGCGGGGGGACGCGCCTCGCGCGCGAGCCTATGCGGTGCTCGTGGCGCGGCGGCGGCCGTGTGCCGCGGCATTTTGTCTTGCGTCGGGCCTGTCCCTCTACAGGAGGAGTATTTCCTAATAGTCAAACAATGATATATTATGCATTACTATCATCATCATTCTTCTTGCTCATTATTATTATCATTATTGTTGTGGTTAATATTATGATCATTATTACTATGGTTACCATTTATTATTTGTATGATGATGATACTTATTTTTCTACTATTATAATCAGGACTACTATTATTATTGCTATTCCAATTATTAGTATGATGACTGTTATTCGTATGGCTAATAATATTATATAACAAGCACATACAGTATTTGAGAGTATTTGGTTGGATACTTTTTGAGTATTTTTCATCCAAATCCCCCTTGTGGGGGACAGGCCCGACCTACCAATTGGTCGAGTGAACGCGTGGATGTGAGCTGAGGGTGGAGTGGTTGGCGTGCTTTGCGGATGCAGATATTTCGCGGGGATGCTCAGAAGCCAGGCGAGGGCTGGCAAACCCGTGGCTGCCAAAACGGAGCTCCCTTTTGTTGTTGCTCTTATTTTTGCTCGTCTCCGGGAAGCAGCCCGTTTGCTACTTGGTGCGCTGAGCTCTATTCCGGGAGCTTGTGTTCTCTCTTCCGGGAGTGCCGCTTTCGCGGCCGCGGACTTGCCTGTCCTCGCCCAGCTTCCGAAATGCGCCCTTCGAGGGCGAGCCGAGCCTGCTGTGGCTCGCCCCCCAGGACGGCGGGCAGTCGCAGTCCTTCTGCGGCAGCAACCGCAGCTCCTGCGTCTCCAACAGGGGGCTGCCCCTGGGCGACCGGCCACGAGCCTCCGAGTCGCGGTGCTCGCCCAACTCCCTGGCGGCGACGCTCAGGCGCCTCCGTGGAGGAGGAGGAGGAGGAGGAGGAGGAGGAGGAGGAGGAGGAGGAGGAGGAAGGGAGACCATGATCACACTGGCCTGCATGGGGTCGGCCTCTTTACATATGTCTGTCTGTCTGCCTGTATGTATGTACGTATGTATGTATGTATGTACGTACGTACGTACGTATGTATGTATGTATGTATGTATGCATGTATGTACCTATGTACGTACGTACGTACGTACGTACGTATGTATGTATGTATGCATCTATCTATGTATGTATGTATGTATGTATGTGTATGCATGTATGTATGCATGTACGTATGTATGTATGTATGCATGCATGCATGCATTTCTGTATGTATGTATGTATGTATGTATATGCATGTATGTATGTATGTATGCATGTATGCATGTATGTATGTATGTATGTATGTATGTATGCGTGTGTATGTATGTATGTCTGCCTGTATGTATGTATGTATGTATGTAAATATGTATGTATGTAGGTCTGTATCTATGTATCTATGTATGTATGTATGCATGCATGTATGCATGTGTGCATGCATGCATGTACGCATGTATGTATGTACGTATGCATGTATGTATGTATGTATATATGTATATATGTATGTATGTATGTATGTATGTATGTATGTATGTATGTATGTATGTATGTATGTATGTATGTATGTGTGCATGCATGTATGTATGTATGTATGCATGCATGCATGCATGCATGCATGCATGCATGCATGCATGCATGCATGCAATGCTGTATGTGTGTATGATGTATGTATGTATGTAATAATATATATATATATATATATATATATGTATGTATGTATGTTTATTTATATATATATCTATATATATATATTATATATATATATATATATATATATATATATATATATATATATGCAGAGCGTGTCTACCGCTGCTGGCGGAAAACCGGGGGGGTCACTACCGTTTCGACCCCTCCCCCCCCCCCCCCCCTCCGGAAAACCGGGGGGGGGTCACTACCGGTTCGAACCCCTCCCCCCCCCCCCCCCCTGCTCATCATGAAAAAGGGGGGGGGTTCACTACCGGTTCGACCCCCCCCCCCTCCGGATTCGGAAAACCGGGGGGGGGTCACTACCGGTTCGAAGCCCCCCCCCCTCGAAAACCGAGTGGGGGTGCGGACAGTGGTGGGGACGGTGTTGGTGGGGACAGTGGTGAGGGGATAGCGGGACAGTGGTGGGGACAGTGGGACAGTGGGACAGTGGTGGGGACGGTAGTGGTGGGGACAGTGGTGGGGACAATGGTGGGAACAGGGGGGGACAGTGGACAGTGGTGGTGACGGTGGTGGTGGGGACAGTGGTGTGGGGACAATGGGAATGAGGTGGAAACAGTGGGACAGTGGAGGGTACAATGGTGGTGGGGACAGTGGTGAAGGCGGTGGCGAGGACGGCGGTGGGACAATGGGACAGAGGTACAGTGGGGACAGTGGTGGGGACAGTGGGGACAGTGGTGGGAACAGTGGGACAGCTCAGTGGGACAGCGGAGGAGTCAGTGGGACAGTGGGGACAGCGGGGATAGTCGGGCAGTGGTTGGGGCCGTGGAGACAGTGGGGAGAGTGGAACCGTGGTGGGAACAGTTCTGGGGACAGCGGGGACAGTGCGACAGTGGTGGGGCCACTGGTGGGAACAGTAGGGGCGGTGTGGGGACAGCGGTGGTGAGGACAGTGGTGCTGGGAACACCAGTGGGGATGTGATGCGGACGGTGGTGGGGACCGGGAGTCGTTTGCTGGCGGTGAGTAGGGGGGGGGAGGGGGGGGGGGGGGGTTCGAACCGGTAGTGACCCCCCCGGTTTCCGGATCCGGAGGGAGGGGGGGGGGGGGGGGGAGGGTTCGAACCGGTAGTGACCCCCCCCGGTTTTCGAGCGGGAGGGGGGGGGGGGGAGGGGTTTAGGGGAGGGGGGGGTTTTGCCGGGGAGGGGGGGGGGGGAGGGGTTCCAGCAGGGGGGGGGGGATTTTCGGAGGGGGGGGGGGGGGGCGACCCCCGGGTTCCGGAGGAAAAGGTGGGCAATTTTCCACAGTAAAGCGGCGGTGGATCACGCTCTCTCTCTCTCTCTCTCATATATATATATATATAGATCCCTCTCTCTTTTTCTCCTTCTCTCTCTTCCTCACTCATTTTGTTTGTGCTATCTCTCTCTCGCTCTCTAGCTCTCTCTCCCTCTCCCGGCTTGCATTCATACACCCGGCTTGCATTCATTCATATCTCTCTCTCGCTCTCTCTAACTCTCTCTAAATCTCTCTCCCTCTCCCTCTCGCCTTCTCGCCTTCTCTCTCTCTCACACACACCTTGTCTGTGTTCGGGGCCGGGCGCTATCGTGCTTGCGCCCTCTTCCTGGTGGGTGGGGGGGGAGGGGCATAGGAGGGGGCCAGAGGGGCGCAGGGAAGATCTGGAGACGAGGGAGACGTGCGAGGATGGGAGGAGGCGAGGAGGTCACGAAGAGCCGGAGGGCCAGCGAGGGGAGGAGAGAGGAGCAGCGAGCAGAGGCGAGGGGAGCGCAGGCGAGGCGACGGGAGCAGCGGGAGGGAGAGGCAGGCAGGGCAGGGAGGGAGGGCAGGGGAGGCAGGGGAGGGGAGGCAGGGGAGGCAGGGGAGGCAGGCAGGGAGGGAGGCAGGGAGGGAGGGGAGGAGAGGGAGGCAGGGCGGGAGGGAGGGAGGCGGGGGCGGGAGGTCGCTGCCGCAGCGGCACGGACCCCCCCCCCGCCCCCCCCCGCGGGAGCGCCGCCGTGCAGGGCCGCGAGGTCCTTCACCTCGCTGGCCAGCCACGACCCGGACGGCCGCCGGCCCAGCGAGATCAGCCTCATGGGCACGGTGCGTCCCGCCCCCGGCTCGCGCGCAGAGGGGGGGCTGCTTCTCCCAGTCCTCCCCCCGCTCTTCCCCCCCCTCCCCCTTGTCCTGGAGGGGAGGTCGTCTGGTCTCCCTCCTCTCTGCCCCTCCCCCTCCCCCTCCCTCTCCCTCCCCCTCCCCCTCTCCCTCTCCCTCCCTCTCCCTCTCCCTCTCCCTCTCCCTCTCCCTCGCCCTCTCCCTCCCTCTCTCGAGCCTCGGCTCGAGAGCCCCGTTCGGAGCGAGCCTGGAGGCCGATTGCCCCGCATCCGTTCCTGCCCCCGGACGCCGGGCACGGCCCGTCCCGGGCCGTGACCGACAGGCGCCACCGGCACGGCACCTTCGGCACGTGCGCGCGCGCCAGGGCCCCGACGCGCCTCCCGCCGTGGGCGCGCCCCGCTCCTCCGCGGCCCGAGCCACCGGGCAGAGGCTGATGGGCCTCTTTTCCACCACCAGCACCATAAGTTGGAGGGGGAAGGGGTCCTCCTCCTCCTCCTCCTCCTCCTCCTCCTCCTCCTCCTCCTCCTCCTCCTCCTCCTCCCCCCCTCCAGCTTATGGTGGTGGTGGTGGAAAACAAGCCCATCAGAGGCTTATGTCGGGCCTGTCCCCCTACAGGGGGATTTCCGACGGACAAGCAAAAATACCCCCAAAATACACCCCGCGGCCTCGGCCGAGGCCCGCCAGGGGCATCGAGGCCGCCCCACTCGTCAGCCCCGATGCACAGCAAAAACTGGAACGTGCCGAACGCGCTTGCGCCCGCCAGTGCGGCGGACGGCACATCACAAGCCGTCAGCCTCGCTTCGCACGCAAGGGGAAGGGCGCCGCCTCCTGCAGCAAATCCGCGCTTGTGCTGGGTCCCATCAGCGCCGACTACCCACGTAAGGAACTCTTATTTCTCTTCTCCGTAAAAACACAACGGCTACCAAACTCACGCCAGGCCACATCCAGGGAAGGGTCGTCCAATTGGGCCGCGCTGAGGTCAAGTGCTTGCAGAACCTGGTCCAAGTCGCACTGGGCCCCGTGGAAAACGTAACCAGGATCCGCGGAGCCATCAGTGAAACGGATGCCATCGCCGTCGCGTCGTCTCTCCAAGAGCTTTCCACGATTCAGTTCTCAGGGGCTGTGCCATTCAACGGCACGCGGCAACCGGGAGGAACAGGTACGGGCCAATCTGGGGCCAAGGAACGTCACAAGACAGCCAAGCGTGACCATGTAAGCAAACAACTTGACGACGACCTCACCGACGCCCTCGCAGCTGTCTTCGCCTCCCCGTTCAGCGCGGTCGCGTCTCAGAAGCCCGTGAAGCTGCTGGGGCGCCAGGGCGCACCGTGGCACGCCAACGGTGACTCAAGGCAACGTTCGGCATCGGGTCGACTGACGTCCCGACAGTTCTTTCCGCCTCGGGACAAGGAGGCGTCCAGTTCGACATCAGCTGCCGCAGTTCGAGTTCGAGGGGCCCTGGGTCAAGCGAGTCTATCACCGCGTGGTGCCAGGATGGCCACCCGGGTGCGCTCCGCGAGAGCCACCGGGCAACTCGATGGCTGAGCGCCTTCGGAGCCGTTCGTGCAGACCAAGAAAAGGCTGCTGTCCGAGTGGAGCCGGGCGCGGGCGACTCGGAAGCCGTGAACCAGAAGCCGTGGCCATCGAATGCCGAGGAGCCAGCGCGGCACAGGCCAGCGCCAAGTACCGCACCGCAGGCATCGGGCCCCACAGCGCTGCATGGGCGCAGACCGCCAAGGCCTCTGCCTCCCTCGAGTGGCAGCGTGAGGTCCAAGCGCGCAGGGCGGGACAATAACACGGCCGGGGAGCATGTTGCCATCGCCGGAGCGGCAGCGGCCCCGCCCGACGCCGCAGTGCACGTCCAGGGCTTCACTATTATCTGGACGCCCGAAATGGGTACGGAAAGAATGGGTACAATGCCCAACAGCAATTCCTGTTCACTTTGAACAGGATTCGCTGTCCACGCCGCCGCGGCCTGTGTCCATTCGAGACAGGAGGCCGCCTGCCCAACAGCGGCCGCTGATGGTTTGGGACAGCACTTGTTGTTGGGCACTGTGCCCATTTTTTCCGTACCCATTTCGGGCGTCCAAAACCATCCCGCGGGCCATCGCGCACGCGGAAGGCGACCGCCGAGGCGGAGCCGCCACAGACACCGACGGCACATCTTGAGGCCCTGCCAGAGGCCAGCACGTCGCAGGCGAGCGGCGCGCGCCACGGCTCGTGGGTCCCGCGCCCCGACGCGCGCATGTGCTCAGTTGGCCGCTCAGCGCCTTCCTGCCTCGCAGGAGCGAAGAGGTGGGTCCGCGGGAGTGCCTTTGGCTGCTGCCCTTCCGTGGAGCCGCGCCGGACGCACGTCTCGAGGCGCAGCCGCCACAGACGCCGACGGCGCAGCCTGCCCTGCCAGAGGCCAGCACGTCGAGGCCCCGCCGCGCGCGCACGGGGGTCGCCGCCGCCCGGGGCGGCCGGGGGGCGCCGCGGACGCGCCGGGGCTCTCCCAGGGCAGGGCGGCCGCCGGGCCTGGAGCAGGGGATCGGCTGCATAATCGATTCGCAGTGGGGGCGCGCAGCAAGAACCCCCCCAGAAAGTATGGGAAAAGATTCGAAGTGGGGGGGAAGACGAAAACCACCCAGAAAATATGGGAAAATATGGGGAATCCGGTCACTCGTGTCTATTTCCCCACATGCTTCGTGGGGTTCTGGTTTTCTTCCCTGCCGCGCCGCACCCGCGACACACACCTCACTCTTCGTACAGCACAGCTCAGCACAGCACAGCACAGCACATCACAGCACAGCACAGCACAGCTCAGCTCAGCACAGCACACAGCTCAGCTCAGCTCAGCACACAGCACAGCTCAGCACAGCTCAGCACAGCCCAGCACGGCTCAGCTCAGCACAGCACAGCACAGCTCGTGGCACTTTCTCGACACCACAGGGGGTGCGCAGGGGTTGGTCTCTCAGCTCGGCCGCTATCCACGACACTGGCGCAAAGCCTAGCAGGCGTGGCACTTTCTCGACACCAAAGGGGGTGGGCAGGGGGTGGTCTCTCAGCTCGGCCGCTATCCACGACACTGGCGCAAAGCCTAGCAGCGTGGCACTTTCTCGACACCACAGGGGGTGCGCAGGGGGTGGTCTCTCAGCTCGGCCGCTATCCACGACACTGGCGCAAAGCCTAGCAGGCGTGGCACTTTCTCGACACCACAGGGGGTGCGCAGGGGGTGGTCTCTCAGCTCGGCCGCTATCCACGACACTGGCGCAAAGCCTAGCAGGCGTGGCACTTTCTCGACACCACAGGGGGTGCGCAGGGGGTGGTCTCTCAGCTCGGCCGCTATCCACGACACTGGCGCAAAGCCTAGCAGGCGTGGCACTTTCTCGACACCACAGGGGGTTGCGCAGGGGGTGGTCTCTCAGCTCGGCCGCTATCCACGACACTGGCGCAAAGGCTAGCAGGCGTGGCACTTTCTCGACACCACAGGGGGTGCGCAGGGGGTGGTCTCTCAGCTCGGCCGCTATCCACGACACTGGCGCAAAGCCTAGCAGGCGTGGCACTTTCTCGACACCACAGGGGGTGCGCAGGGGGTGGTCTCTCAGCTCGGCCGCTATCCACGACACTGGCGCAAAGGCTAGCAGGCGTGGCACTTTCTCGACACCAAAGGGGTGGCGCAGGGGGTGGTCTCTCAGCTCGGCCGCTATCCACGACACTGGCGCAAAGCCTAGCAGGCGTGGCACTTTCTCGACACCACAGGGGGTGCGCAGGGGGTGGTCTCTCAGCTCGGTCGCTATCCACGACACTGTCGCAAAGCCTAGCAGGCGTGGCACTTTCTCGACACCACAGGGGGTGCGCAGGGGGTGGTCTCTCAGCTCGGCCGCTATCCACGACACTGGCGCAAAGCCTAGCAGGCGTGGCACTTTCTCGACACCACAGGGGGTGCGGAGGGGGTGGTCTCTCAGCTCGGCCGCTATCCACGACACTGGCGCAAAGCCTAGCAGGCGTGGCACTTTCTCGACAAAACACAGGGGGTGCGCAGGGGGTGGTCTCTCAGCTCGGCCGCTATCCACGACACTGGCGGCCCCGAAAAAAAAAGCCTAGCAGGCGCAGGCTTGGCACTTCTCGACCACCACAGGGGTGCGCAGGGGGTGGTCCTCAGCTCCGCGTTCACTATCCACGACACTGGCACAAAAGCTAGCAGTGTCATGCGTGGAGACACCACAGGGGGTGCGCAGGGGGTGGTCTCTCAGCTCGGTCCCTATCCACGACACTGGCACAAAGCCTAGCAGGCGTGGGACACCAAAGGAGGTGGGCAGGGGGTGGTCTCTCAGCTCGGTCGCTATCCACGACACTGGCGCAAAGCCTAGCAGGCGTGGCACTTTCTCGACACCACAGGGGGTGCGCAGGGGGTGGTCTCTCAGCTCGGCCGCTATCCACGACACTGGCGCAACGCCTAGCAGGCGTGGCACTTTCTCGATACCACAGGGGGTGCGCATGGGGTGGTCTCTCACCGCGGTCCCTATCCACGACACTGGCGCAAAGCATAGCAGGCGTGGCACTTTCTCGACACCAAAGGGGGTGGGCAGGGGGTGGTTACACACCGCTCGGCCGCTATCCACGGACACTGCGGCAAACAGCCTAGCAGGACGTGGCACTTTATCGGACACCAACGGGGTGCGCAGGGGGTGGTCTCTCAGCGCGGCCGCTATCCAAGACATTGTCGCAAAGCCTAGCAGGCGTGGCACTTTCTGGACACCATAGGCGGGGCGCAAGGGGTGGTCTCTCAGCCTAGGATTCGCTATCCACGACAACTGTCGCAAAGCCTAGCATGCGTGGCACTTTCTCGACACCACAGGGGGTGGGCAGGGGGTGGTCTCTCAGCTCGGCCGCTATCCACGACACTGGCGCAAAGACTAGCAGGCGTGGTACTTTCGCGACACCACACGGGGTGCGCAGGGGGTGGTCTCTCAGCTCGGCCGCTATCCACGACACTGGCGCAAAGCCTAGCAGGCGTGGCACTCTCTCGACACCACAGGGGGTGCGCAGGGGGTGGTCTCTCAGCTCGGCCGCCACGACACTGGCGCAAGGCCTAGCAAGCGTGGCACTTTCTCGACACCACAGGGGGTGCGCAGGGGGTGGTCTCTCAGCTCGGTCGCTATCCACGACACTGGCGCAAAGCCTAGCAGGCGTGGCACTTTCTCGGACACCGCAGGGGATGCGAAGGGGGTTGGTCTTCTTCAGTGCGGCCCTATCCACGGGGACTGGCGGCAAAGCTAGCAGGACCACAACTTTCTCGACACAAAGGGGCGTGTGCGCAGGGGTGGCCTCTCAGCTCGGCCGCCACGACACTGGCGCAAAACCTCGCAAGCGCGGCACTTTCTCGACACCACAGGGGGTGCGCAGGGGGTGGTCTCTCAGCTCGGTCGCTATCCACGACGCTG